AACTTAAAACAGCAAGTACGTGTAGAAATCTACTGCACTACAAGCCACCAGTAAGAAGTCCCGACGCCTCATCAATCACTCAAAATTACAGTAAAATCTATCCTTATCGAGGAGTCCCACTAATCCTAGTGGATGCAGAACGCATTCTCTAATGACAAAGGGATCATTGAGCTGCAGAGGGAAAGAACTGCATAAAACCGTAAGTGCTTTAAATCCGAAAATCGTACAAACAGTTTAACACTGGTTAGTAACGGTCTAATGTCCCACTTAATTACCACGATTTTGAGCTTAAAATCACACGCTACTCCCGAATTGAGCACTAGCTCTCTGGTAGTTTAGTCAAGGTAGTCAATTTTCATTCAAAAAGGAAATCCGTGCATCTGTAACGAAGGCTTACACGTTTAAGCACGATATTGAGGTAGCGCTATCAAGGCGGATTCAATTTGCCGCGGTTGAAGACCACATTCCTTTATGGTAAATTCACCATTACAAACAGAAAGGTATGTTTACTAAAATGTCCTCAAACAGCTATTTTAACAAAGTTTTACAGTGCAGCAATTCAAATTAAACAAGCATTGCGAAGTCAATAAGAACTAATCCCGCTTTGAATACCTTGCCGAATGAGGACCGTGGGAAAGCAGGAAAGACAGCAGTGCGAAAGGCCTTCAAGTACGAAATGCTGAAGGCAAAATTCATGAGATGCAAAATAGCCTACCGTAAAGAATCAAAGCCCAACCAAGCCAGTCCTCTGATGATGCAGCGGGTGTCATGTTAAAGACATCCGAAGAACAGCAACGAAAAGGCCAAGTTTCCGAATCAGGCTAGCAAAACAGCAGCAAGTCAAGCAACTGCAAAGCCGAGGATTCAATTTTTGCACGGTTGCGCTCAACACTTCAAATTAAATGACTTCAAGACGATTTATTTGCACATATTTGACGAGCCAGTGGTAACGAATTCAAATAAAAGAATGACTTAGCGAACAGGGCCTGAGTTCCAGTGAGTCACCACCAAAGGAGTCGAAGGGCAACATCACGAGGACATGATTTCTTTACATCGCAGGACTGGAAGCTACAAACAAGCAAGGCAAAGAGGACTACTTTGAGAAAGAGGAAGCGCCCACTCCGCAGGTGTTCAAAGTGAACTCAGCTATACTGGCATTGGAGTTAGAGGTCTCCAGGGGAACGTTGAATGGGGCCGATCTTACAAAATATTGATGCAGGTGAAACTAAACTGACTGCGTCAAAGTATCAGACTGACT